AAACCGGTTATTGTATCCTCACAGTATTTATCTCATATGCGCTATGTCACGGTATCTTACTATTGAGAGGGAGGCGAGTGCGAATAACAGTCTTTCACAGACACTGAACAGCAGAAGCCACTATTTCACTGTGATTGAGAAAATGAAAGTAAAATGCATTTCTCTCTCTCTCTTTCTCTCTCTCACTCTCTCTCTCTCTCTCTCTCTCTCTCTCTCTCTCACTCACTGTGGACATTTGACCTGCTGGCTTGATGATTCCTCTCCTCTAACCTGTTGTAGAGTTACTTGTGGATCCAGACACGGGCGTGTGTCTGCAGGGCGAATTTTCTCACCACGTCTTTCATGGATCAGCTGTGATCGCTGCTGCCGTTTATCAGTGACACTAATTCGTGAACAGCAGCAAAGCGTTAGAGCCAATCGCAGCCCTTTATTCTAAGCACGTGACCAATCATAAGGGTGTAAGAACTCGCTTGACAGGGCTCATAAAGCGAGCAGAATATTTACATTTGTTTATTTGCTATAAATGCTCATGTTGTTCTGTGCATGTACTTGAGTTTTTAAAGGTACAAATTATACATATGACTGTATTAAAGGACAAAATTGTTTTACAAATAATATATAAGTAAAAATATATCTATACATTTTTCTTGTGCTGTGAAGCAAAATATATAGATGTGTATGGAAAGCATCGTCAATGCACAGCGATGCACCGAGATATCGTAATGAACCATATCGATGGTATGACAATCAAAACCGTACCATGAGACCAGTGTATGTTAACACCTCCAGCATAAATGATATAACTACTTTAATTTACTTTGGCATTTGGCAATACAGTGTTTGAATGGACTCCAGTGCCTTAATAATTTGACATACTATCATTTGCTCATTCTCATGTAAATTTCTTTAAAATCTCATTGTGTGTATAGGAATATGCTTTGATTGGGTGTTTTGTGAGAAGTTAATGTTTATGCATGAGCCTGTTGGGCTCTTTGAGAAATCTTTAGAGATTTTTAAACCAGTAGAAGAGTAATGTGCATGTCGCTTATGCCTGTGAACAGTGGCATTGTGGGAAGTAGAGGGTCTGCTGGGGTGCATCTGAGGCCTCTGATCTGCTCATGTTAACACACTGTGATCTCACTGAGACCTCAAAGACGCCTTCTGTTTGACATCTAACCACTGCAAATGCCTGAAACTTCATTGACCGCCTGCAACACTTTGTACATTTGTGTGGTAAACCCTTCTTTGTTCTTGGTCTTTGCTTCAAGCGTTTTGCTCCTATCATTATTTCAAACAAGGCTAAGTACAAGGCATTTAGAGTATGCTTTTAATCAATCTTTAACTGGTTCACATGATGTCTTCTAAATGGTATTCAGACAGGAAATATTTCTAATCATGCTGAAATAACATGCCCAACAAGGGTAAAAAATGCAGAGCAGGGTTATTCTGTGGCAATATATGACATTTTTTATATTATTATAAGCATTTATATTATTAAAAGCATAGTCTTTTTTAATGCAATGGAATATGAAAGTGGAATATTTGTATTTAAAATGAATGATTTCTGCAATGTTTTGAACTGTGGCAGATACAATACATGATTTCTAAACCTATATACATATTTTAAAATTTTCTGAACTCATTAAACAAAAACCCAATAGCCTTGCTAGAAAATGCAGAATTGAGCTTTTTCCCTGACAGAATTATGCATTTTTACATTATAAAAGATTTCTATCATTTTCATATTTTAAAAAGCTAATATTTTGCTGAATGGAAACCGATCTTTCTTTATATTTTGGTATTTGTAGATTTGTGAGGGTCATTATACACACACACACACATTTATAATATTATGCTTTGTGATTAATCACTGCATGACAGAAAACTAATCAACGCTGCTGTGTGAGTGTTAATACAGTTGCTAAGAGAGGGACAGCGATTTTTTTCTTTCTTCTGACTTACTTTCTTACTAAGTTAATGTCATGGCAGGTCAGGCAAGAGAATTAGAAAGCGGATCTGTTTGAAATAATATACTTTAATACACAAAAATAAGAAGAGAAGATAAGCCACAGTGGGGATTACTTGCAACTGTGTGCAAAACAACAACAAAAGCAGCAGAAAATGAACTAAGCCAAAGCAAATGACAATAAAGTGCTGTGTGAACAACCAAAAAAAAAAAGATAAATGAATGCATCTCGGTCATTAATTTTCACCATAATGACATTTTGCAGGGCTGGAAAGGCAAGCTTTGAAAAAAATGTGTTTTAGTGTTTTCCCTACTTTCAAAAACAAAACAAAAAAAAGAGTAAAAATGGAAGAGACTGATAACAGCAATGGAGAAAAGACAATAACAAATTTACTGTCCTCCCTTAGAAGCTGCATTAGAAACTAGCATTTTTGTTGTTGTTATTGTAATTAGATAAGAAGGTGTACACCTCACATGAAAAATACTATAGTAATATGCAGTGTTGGGCAATAAAATGTTCCTAGTAATGCGTTACTGTTACAGCATTACTTTTGACAGTAACTAATACTGTAGCACATTACTATTTAAATATATTTACTCTGTTAAAATTATGCGTTTGTTCGCTTCTTGGTAAATTAATTAATTTTGGCTGCAGTCTAGCCTGCATCTCCGTTTACAGCAGCGACACATTATCGAATTGGTGGATACCAACCAACCACTGTAAAAGAAGACGCGTCATATATGAGGTGCCAGACTTTGCAAAAGTCAAGCGAATCAAGGAGACCGAGTGCACAAGAGAGAGGCAAAGTGTGCGCGCGAGAGAACCGAATGCACGTGAGGTAGGCTGTGTGCACGCGAGAGAGACCAAGAGACTATTACTATTACTATATTACTATTACTACTAATACTACTATGTTTGTTGTTTCAAATAAATAAGCACACATCTGCTATCTGTATGACAAAATTGATTAATTTAGTAGATACAGTGACACGCACGATCACCTTACAGCAAGAAGGTTGCTGGTACGAGCCACTGCTGGGTCAGTTGACTCTGGTTTCCCCCACAGGTCCAAAGACGTGGTATAGGTGAATTGGGTAAGCTAAATTGACCATAGTGTTTGTAATTGAGTCACATTTTGATGACTCAAAAAAATGACTGAAAAAAAATATAGTTACACCATGTACGGTTATATATATATATATATATATATATATATATATATATATATATATATATATATATATATATATATATATATATATATATATATATATATAGAGTATTTGTTTAAATATCTTTTCCAGTATCGGCATTGGGCAATACATTTTTCTGTTTGGTTAATGTGTTTGAGGCAGGACTTTTATTTTGATGGTGCTGAGAACAGTAGAACTTGAGCACACTGTTCAAATACTTCTTTTTGCTTGTGGTTGTCATTCAGTTCTTCCTACAAAGACAGAAGTGTAATAATCTAATATTCAGATTCAACTGTTTAAACAAAGTAATTCAAATGCATACAAAAGTATTAGAACGATTGCGTTAATTAGTTATAAAGACAAACAATACTTACTCTTTTGCCCTCAGCATACAGGAATTTGACATAATTTAAATAAATTTTTGAATGACTAAAACTTTTACCTCTGTCAGACAGAGTTCAAATGCTTTAAGGAATTAGGTGTTAGTCATACTGTAAGTGAATTAGTTACATTTTTCAGTGAGAGAAATACTGAAAGCAGTGAAACGCAAGTGGTTTCTGTGGTGATGCATCATAAAGACAACGATTGCACAACCAGTAATGAGCACTTAGCGAATGTACTGTAGGTTGTGAGTCGGGCTGCCAGGTAAACAAAAATGCAACATTATTATTATGTGTTACAAAATAATACAGGTTTCCTGACCTGTGAGCTGTTACTGTGTTCACAGCACACCCGTAGTGCAGCGGCACACTCATACAGCAGCACACACTGTACTCCACATCATTACAAATAAAAAGCTAAATAAATGAACAGCATGCAACTTACTTTTGGTGGCTTTTATTTTATCAACAAAAACTAGTTAGGGACTAGTGTGTGTGTACACACACATTTATAACACTATACTCTGTAATTTATCACTGCATGACAGAAAACTAATTAACACAGCCTTATGAGTGTTTAATACCATGGCCAATAAAGTGACTTTCTTTAAATAATGTCATGGCAGGTCAGGCAAGAAATAATGTAATGTTTAAAAATGTGTTGATAAAATCTTTTCTCCGTTAAACAGAAATTAGACAGTGGGGCTAATAATTCTCACTTCAACTGTATATATTACATATATATATATATATATATATATATATATATTGATGCCATGTGATTGGCTGAACTTTTAGAAATTTACCCCACAATCCTTTTAAAATTCAATGCAAATTGTTTGTCATTAATTCAATTTTAATTTAATTCAATTGTAATTATTAGTTTGAATAATTCAAATCATATCAATCGTCACCCCTGCTTTCAAAGATATTGGCATCGGCATTCAAAAAAATAAATAAATAAATAAATACTGAGGATTAGGAACAAAGAAATGCACGGTGCTGGATAATGCATACTAAAACATCACCTAACAGAGCATACATGAACTATTTGGATACTTTTGTGTGAAGGAAGTTTTTTACATCTAAAAATAAAGAGCCATTTAAAGTTTAGGAGCTGAAATTAATTGTAGCCTGTGGCATTATAGTGATCTGCAATTAATTTGAGATCCTATTATACTGTAGTTTGCTGCATTAACTGAACCGTAATGTCTGTGTAGTGTTACACCCCTATAGTCATCTTGATTTTTATTCCAGGTATTCAGTCAGAGCAGCGGTGAGTGTGATTTTTAAGGTGTCTGTACTGCTGTAATGTGTTGCCTATCTAGAGGGCGAAAACTGTGATGTGTGAAAGCACTTGTGCATGTTTGCTGAGCAGGTGGTGAAGCGTCTCTCACCCCTAGAAGATTGTCCTTACTGCTGTGTCTCTCATGATCTCTCGCTCTCTCTCTGTCTTTCAGGTCAGCTGTGTTTACGGGACCTACTGACGTTACGTTTCTGCCAGACACTCCATTGGCTTGGCCGATGTCAAGTGCCTTCTGTTCGTGTGAAGTGCTGCAAGACCTGCAGTTTGCCACCACGAGGCAGTGATCGCACCACAAGCCGCTAAGATACACACACTGCAGAATGTAATAACAGGAAACACAAGATTATGACAGAAATACTCAAAGAAGCAATGGATTAATCCATTGCTGGACTAGCTTTCAATCGGGTCTAATCAAGCTGCTGCAATTGACAATTATCAGAACACACAATCTGTTTGTTTATACAATAATCATTGTGTTGGATTATGCGATTTTGACTCAAGAACTAGTGTTTAAACAAACAATTGTTTCAATCACACCTGCCAACACTCCCATTTTTCCCGGGAGTCTGACGTATTTCAGACCCATCTCCCGCCACCCTCCTGTTTTGTTATTTCTCCAGAAAACTCCTGTAATTTCACCCCCTGGATTTTTTGAGACAAATGTTGGCAGGTTCGGTTTCCATCCAAAGATGTGAATTAGATTAATGCGCAAAACTGGAATATCACATACAATATATGCAAATAAATCCAATGTATCAAAGGGAACAAAATCTTCACTCCCTCCCTGATAAACTGGTGACAAATATTTATTCATTCATTTTCCATTGGCTTATTCCCTTTATTCATCTGGGGCCGCCACAATGGAATGAACCGCCAACTTGTCCAATGTTTTAACACAGCGAATGCCCTTCCAGCTGCAAGGAAACACCCATACACACAAACACTCTCACAATTACACACACACACTACGGCCAGTTAGGATATTCAATATGTTTTTGGACTGTGGGGGAAACCAGAGCACCTGTAGAAAACACACACAAACACGATGCAAACCCCACACAGAAATGGCAACTGACCCAGACGGGACTCAAACCAGCAACATTCTTGCTGTGAGGTGTCAATGCAAACCACTGAGCCACCATGCTGCCCCTGGTGCCAAATATCAAAAAGAAAAATGTAATTTAATGGGGTAGGAGAAGCCACTGTGGGCCTTTTTTCCTATAAAATACATTATGAAACCAAAACTCAATGAACGTGGTATGGGTGAGATGTTTTTAGGAGTGCACAGTTGTGGGGGGTAAAAATACTGGACCACTTTGATGACAGATTGACCCAAACAACATTTCAGATCATTTATAATGTGGTCAGTCAGCTGGTTTGTCAATTAATGCTGCAACATTGCACCTATTTTTGTCATCTTATGATCTGTTAAAACAAAATCACATGACGTTTTTGATGCACATGCTGGAATTTCTTTGGTAAACGCGTTTTCGTTTTAGTTTATGTCAATTTCTATTGTTTGTTATTGGATAAAAACACTTTACTATGCGCATTTATAAACATTTTTGCTCATCTTGCAATTTCCAGTATACAATTTTGTATGTGAAATTCCAAAATGCGCATCAAAGCGTAAAATACAAAATGGAAACATAGCTAATGTGGTGTCCTTTGAGGAAACATCTTAAAAGCTGGAGTATTTCATTTCTCTATGGTCTCTGCGTGTTTGAAAGCTCTGTACAGAAGAGCTGCAGAGCTCCCGTTGGTTAATATGACAGATGTGGCAGAAGCTGTCAGTCAGGACTGAGTAAAATTCAACACGCTAGTATTACTGTCATCTACTATGAAGACACGCAGTGTGAGATAAAATGATTGAATCTTGTGTTTCAACACCCACTGCCGTTTATGAATTACCACAACACATCCGACATCAAACAGAATGTGCTAAAATCATGCTGATATTGCATAGTCTGAATCTGGCATAATAGTTCATCGTTAACACGTAATTGGTGCTTCTTTCTGTCCATCATCTCAATCAAGTGTTGGAAAGACAGGTAGACTGCTGCAGCGTTGATGTGCTTTTGTAGGCCAGAACAAAGGAACAGCATTTTAGCATGGCCATCATCTCTAAATAAATAGTATTTTTGAGTAGGTTTTTGGGTAAATGTATGAAATAGGATATTTTCTTGTTTTATTCTGACAAAATTCATCAAACGTTTCTCTGTGTTTTTTATCTTAATGTCAACTTATTAGCAAGTGACTAAACTGGAGGTTTTCAGCATTCCAAGTCAGACTTTTAAGGAACATTTTTTCTTATATATATATATATATATATATATATATATATATATATATATATATATATATATATATATTAGAAAAAATGTTCCTTAAAACATATATATATATACAATATATTGGGAAAGTTGGTGAAGCTTCAAATAGTAGTGGCGATATTGAAATCTTGTGACTGTTGTGTCATTTGTTTAAATTATTTATCTGTTTAACTATATTTTGGCTTCAAAATTAATAAAAGTTGCATACTATATAATATGTTAAAATTGTATGTGAGTCGAGTGGTATGTCTGAATTCATAGTATTTGAAAAACAGTAAGCGAGAAGTATCCCGAATCCAATGACCTACTTTGGTGAGATTCTGAGGTGTGCATCCCATAATGGCACGCAAGAAAACTATAAAAATAAATTTACAAAGTAAAATTCACACACAATTCACATTTACAAAATTGAAATTTAAAACAAGGCGACACGGTGGTGCAGTGGGTAGCATGTTTGCCAAGAAGGTTGCTGGTTAAAGCCTCTGCTGGGTCACTTGCATGTCTGTGTTGAGTTTGTATGTTTCTTCCCATGTTGGCGTGGGTTTCCTCAGGGTGCTCCGGTTTCTCCCAGAAGTCCAAAGACGTGGTACAGGTGAATTGGGTATGCTAAAATTAACCATAGTGTGTGAGTGTGTGTGTGAATGAGTGTGTATGTGTTTCCCAGTGTTGGGTTGCAGCTGTAAGGGCATCTGCTGCGTAAAACATATGCTGGAAAAGTTGGCAGTTAATTCACTGTGGTGACCCCAGATTAATAAAGCGACTAAGCCGAAAAGAAAATGAATGAATGAATGAAATGCAAAACAATTTAATAAACGTATCCAATTCGTAATATCAAATCACAGTTAAAAAATACACAAAACTCTATTTGTAAATTACCAAAACAAATCATAAATACACAGAACACAATTTGTAAATTCAATAAACAAACCATAAATGTGCAAATCCAATTCGTAAATTAAAATCACAATTCAAATACACAAAACACAATTTGTAAATTCAAAACCAATCCATAAATAAGCAGATCCAATTTGTAAATTTAAAACACAGTTCATAAATATGCAAATCCAATTTGTTAATTAAAATCACAATTCATAAATACACAAAACACAATTTGTAAATTCAAAATACAACAAATAAATTTATAAATAAAATTTGTAAAGTTGAAAAGTAAAAAATATGCAAGTCCATTTTGTATATTACAATCACAATTCATAAATTAAAATAACAATTCATAAATTCTAAACAATTTATAAATACGCAAAGCACAATTCATAAACTCCAAACACAATTCATAAATAAGCAAATTCATTTCGTAAATTCAAGTCACAATTCATAAATAAACACATTCTATTCCTTTGCGGAAATTTTTATGATTTTTTTACTTGTGAATTCACATGTGTTTAGAATTTACGAATTGGATTTGTGCATTTATGAATTGTGTTTTGAATTTACAAAATAAATTTAGTAAATATGAATTGTGTATGAATTTTATTCTGTAAACGTTTTACTTCTGAGGCTGATCTGGCTCTATATCATGAATGACCGTGAAGCGACACAATAATGACAAATGGAATTTTATTCATCTCACATCCGTTCATATATCTCACATTCTTATGTACATTTCTAACAATAGTGTAGTCAATTCAAATTTAACTGTAATACCTTTTAGAAGTGATTTTGGACTCAGTGCTTCATTCCTGCATTATTTGAAAACTAATAACAAAATCCTGTGGCTTACTAAAAGCATGTCTTTGCTGCAGTAATCTATAGTACATATTTAATGATTACATATTTAGTTTACTTTGTTGTTACAAAAATGTTGTCAAAATTGGCTTTTTGTGTGTTTTGGCTCCTTCAGGGATTTAGTACTTTTTAAAAATGCTATTCCTGTTTTGTGTTCTTAATCACACTTTCTCACAGCTACATCAAACCCAAAAACAGTAAGAAAGTACCTGGTGCTGCAAAATATACTGGTGCTAAACGTAGCGAGTGCTAAGCTCCTCATTCAGTCTGGTTGGTACTTGAATTATTTAGATAATATTTATAGTATTTTCATTTTATGTGTCTATTTTACCCTTTTGGATTACTTAACACAAATACAGACACATGAAATAAAAGCTCATTGAAGAACAAAATAACAGTATAATGTAGAAATCATAAATAGCTTAATGTATTATTTCAAATAGCCTTTACAGTATTGACCACTAGTTACTTATGGAGATGTCAGTTTGAAAGAAAACCCTCAAGGTTTTTCATGTACTTTATTTTTTTCCTAATACATGACCACTGTTTGGGTTGCATGATATATGGCGGCCATACCTATTTTTATTATTATTATATTTAATATTATTGCTATCAGCTCGATAATAAAATTGGGTCAATTTCAATAAAGTCGATGGATTGTGTTTTTCCAACGGTTGAACCACTTCACATGCTTGCTGACCAACACTTTTTAAATTTATTTTACTAGTATATTGGTTGATGTTCTAGTGACTTCATTGCTTTGCTTTGCTTATGCTTTTGCGTCAGGCAATAGATTTTATTTTTATAAAGGAAATTTGTCCAATTAAATAAAGAGTTAAGTAATAAAGTTCAGACATAAGTTCAAACTTTTCTGAAGGTTTTTAAATAAAAACCTTTAAATTGTTCATTATGTCATAACATATGACATATCATGTATGTATGCAATTATGTAGAACATTTTGAGAATTTTATATTTCCATATATATTTTTTGCATATATGTTATCCATATTGGTCAAAAATTACATTTTGGTGCATCCCTACTTACTGAATATTAATTTGTGGCCACATTTCAGTCAGTTATTTCAGGAAAAAGTCAATTTTCAAAACTGCAGATGTGTATAGCACAATTCCAATTCAAAGCAAGCTTGTGTCTCTGTTATCTTTCCGTTATTAATAGAGTAGAGCAGGATGTCAGGACCTGGAAGAATAATTGGATCCCCTCAAGAGTCTCCTTTGGGGATTTTCAATGACCTAAAATAATTTCTGTGGTAAACATAACTCAGCAGCACTCGAACATTTTGTTCTACAACCTAAACTGCACAGACCCGCACCCCAAACATTTTACACAACCCTCGTAAGAGCTTTTAATATATATATATATATATATATATATATATATATATATATATATATATATATATATATATATATATATATATATATATATATATGTTTGCACTATGAGTGTCAAATCAGTGTGCGAAGTGTAGATTGATGATCAGGGGCATCAAAGTTTTGGTTAGTTTGTGTATACATGCTTCAGTCATTTATATATTTATTTTTAATTACATCTGGTTTATTAATAAAACATAAGTTTTCAGCGTTTAGAGGCATGTTTAATTTATTCCAACCTGTTACTGTACTGTAGGTTAAACTACAAACTGTGTCTAATTAGATTTTATAGGCTAAATATGGATACAAACACATATTGCGTCCCAAATGGCATACTTAATTACCTGTTAAATTACGAACGATGCACTCATTCAACCATGAAGTGTGAACTGATGAACACTTCACGCACTCACCGACCGCTCACGTATCAGAAGGGGCGGAGCTATCATTTGTA